ACCTAAGATTTATTGTTCAGTATTCCACTTGAATTTGTATTGTGCTTTTTACATTTTTCAGATGGCCCCCATATAAATTATCCCAAATTCCCCTCTTTATGACTGAGATATTTTTTAAAGCTGAATATTTTTTTTGAAATTTTCATTTAATATATAGTAAAAATAATTATTGCCCTTTTACATTGAACAGCTTGTGGAAAATGTTCTAGACATACTCTTTTTGAATCTAAGTCTATAACATAGGAGTTATTCATATTTAATACCTTTAGTACCCACTGACTATCTTACTGAACACACCGAACTCTCACAAAGGGAGATAGTTTGTTTTTCATTTTTTGTTTGACTTTATATTAGCTTTCTGATCTAAGTGTTTTTAATAACATGGTTATCTACTCTATAGTTCAGAATTCAGCTAGAATCTGTGTAATTTAAGGATATATTTTCTTTTCTACTGTGTACCTGGATACAATGCTGCAGTTGGGAATGCATGAATATAATTTTAAGTACTTAACTGGGGAACTATATATAAAAAATATTTAAGTTGAATACTATAGTAGCCGTCAGCACTGAAGAATAAGTTTTTACTTAATGTCTATTTAATTCAAAATGAAAGAGTTAAAGAAATAGGACTAGAAGAAACTGATCTTTGCATATATTCAGAAGAATATTTTCCAGTACATATGGAAAAATGAACTCTTTAAAATTTGTGATGATTGCTAAATGGGAAGATTATAATAATATTACGTAGTACTCAGTATATTGTGCAAGGCACCACATAATTTTTGTATATATTAACTCATTTAATCTTTCCTATAAAACACATTTTTTATTATCTCCATTTTACAGATGAGGAAACTGAGACTTAGGAAGATTAAGTACGTTCCAAGATCAGAAAAGTTAGTAAGCATCAGAGCCGGGCACACATTCAAGTGTGGTTTACCAGTGGTGAAATTGAGCCATTGACCACTAAGTTAAATTGCTAGTTACATGTCTCAGTATTGTATAATATCTGTGTGTAGATGGAATATCTATTTTGTAGTTTTTTTATCTGAGAATTAAAAACAAAAGAAGTTTAAGTTTTACTATATGCCTGAAATTGGATTTGTTTTACTTATTTTATAAAGTTATTGCCAGTGAAGCACTATTTAGCTTATACTATACAGTAATCTGTAAAGTTGCATTGCATGTTTACTATAAGTTCTATAGTAAAAAACCACATGAATTATAATTTCCATTTTATGTCTAACCATACATTTTGTAGAGCCTGACTCAATACTTCTTCTCATTAAATATTTTCTTAGTAGCCACAGTTCTAAAGCTCAAGTTCTTCTCCTTTCTACATAGTCTTATAACTTTTCTTTTCTATATATTCTTATAAGACTCTAAACTTCTATTACTCTTCTTCCATGTTTTTTTTTCACAGTTGTTTCCTATTTACTTGCCTCCTCTCTACTTTAACTGGCGGCTCCTGAAGGGCAAGGAATGTGTATTTTACTTTTTTATTTCTTCCTTCAATGACTAACATATAGGAAGATCTCAATCCTTTATTTGAATAAACATAATGAATTGTTGTGAAAAAGGCATGGGCACTACACAAAGGAAATCTGTCTCAAATTAGAGGACAACTTCTGTATGCGTGATACAGATATTTTGTCATATTGACCCTGAAAAATTGTTAATCTAGAATAGAATCATAGTGTGGTCCTTATGTAGCGCAATAATGCATTGTAGATTTTCCATATTTTAATCGTCACAGTCGTGTTAAGGGGCCAACCTCTAGCTCTTTCCACTATTTGCTAAGAGCTGTCAGAGAAACTAAAGTAAGAAATTACTATATGTAGGGCCCGCCCGGTGGCGCACTGCTATAGTGCGCTGCTTGGGAAGCGTGGCGGCTCTCCCGCCAAGTGTTCGGATCCCACATACAGACCGGTTCCCGCTCACTGGCTGAGCGAGGCNAAAAAAAAAAAAAAAAAAAAAAAAATTACTATATGTAATTTCTCAGAGGATATTATTTGATCCATATTATATAATCTGAGTGGATTTAACAATTAGATGCTTCCTAACAAGGTAATATTAAAATGTGTGCAATTACATTAAAGGAGAATAAAGTAATGTGTAGGTGTTCATTTTATATTAATGTGAGTATGAATATGCACATGGTGAAAAAGTACAAAAGAAGGTATACAATTAAAAGTAACTGTTTCTCCTATTAACAGTTTCCTGTGTATCCATCTAAAAATAATTTTCTATACATGAACCAATGTGTGTATTACATAAATGGAAGTGTACTATATACACTCTTATGTGTTTTTAATTTTTTAATGTGTAATATGTACAAAAGACCATATGGAGTGTGTGAGGAAGAATAAAATTAAAACAAATACTCGTGTACCAATGACTCAGCTTAAGAAAAGAACATTGTGAGAATCTTAGAAGCTTCCAGTACGTAGTTTCACAATCAGAGCCCCCTGCCTTCCACAGTAATTATATTCTTTCTTTTCTTTATTCTTGTGTATATCTCAAAAAAAATGTTATTGGCTTTTTTTTTTAATTATTTTTAGCTTTATATAAAAGAACCATGTGTATTATTCTTCTGTGACTTACTTCTTTTGCTTTATAATGTTATGATTTTCAGATATATTTATATCTCTCTATATATAGCTGTAATTCATTTTAACAACTGAACAGTATTGTTGCTTTAAAAAAAAAAAAAAAAAAGACCAGGAAGGGATCTTAACCCTTGACTTGGTGATGTCAGCACCACACTATCCAAAGTGAGTGATGGGATGGTTTTGCATTTTGTTTTCTTGGGTAGTCCCATTTTATCTGGTTTTTTTTTTTGGACGTATGTTTTTCCTCTACTGGTTTGGAAATTATGCAGTGTATGTCTTTTCTGCAGTTATCTAGTTGTTATTATTACAAGACTGTTAAGCATTTTGACACTAATCACCTCCTACCTAACTTATATTCTCTTACTTTGCAATTCTGCAGTTCTGCCTTATGCCCTTCAACAAGTTAGACATTATTATTATTGTTTTATATATTCAATATTTGTTTAGATTTATCCATACATTTACAAGGGTACTTCAAAAAGCTCATGTTAAAATAGAATTAATGGTGTCAGATCCTACAGGTTAAAGTTAAGAAAAAAAAAAGATAATACAAATCTTTCCATGAAATTTTTGATGTAGCCTCACATATTGTTGCTTACCATTCCTTTCTGTATCTCAAGAATCAACTTTGGATCATTTGCTTCCTTTCTGGATGCGTTTAAGACCTCTTTTTTCTTTGGAGTTTGGCACTGGTTTCATTTTTGTATACTGTTTGGGATTTGATGAGCTTCCTTGATTTGGAGATTGAAGTCTTGGAACAGCTCTTGGAAAATTCTAGCCAGCTGTCTCTTCATATATATTCCTCTTACCCATCTCCTCTATTATCTCCTTTTGAAACCAGTTAAAAATGTTATGCCTCACTCTTTCTTCCACATCACTTATTTTTGACATTTTCTTTCTTTCTTTCCCTGGGCTGCATTTTAGATACTTTCTTTAGATTTGTCTTTCAGTTCACTAATTTGATCTCCAACTTATGTCTAATATGCTTATGAGTTTCGTTATAAACATTTTCACTTATAGAAGTTCTATTGTCTTATTTTCCAAATTTGCTTATCCCCTTACCATATTGTCAAGGTACTTTAAGTTTTTAACACGTTAGACATAGTTATTTCTGTATTCCGTGTCTATTAATTTCCTTTTCTTCTGACTTCAGCGTGTTTCAACTCATGATGCTTTGTTCCCTTATGTGTTTTGTAATATTTTCATTGTAAAGTTGTCCATTTTTCTTTTTCTTTTTTTTTGGCAACTGGCCAGTATGAGGATCTGAACACATAACCCTGCTTATACAAGGCTGTTCTCTACCCAACTGAGCTAATCAGACAGCATCCCATTTTTCTTGGAAAGTCATCTGTGGGGCTTGTATGGAAAATTTGCTCCATGCTTACCTCTGTTCCTGTGTTATCTAACGTGTATTTTTTTTTCTCTGACTGCTTTTAACATTTACTCTTTCTCACTGGTTTTGAGCAATTTGATTATAATGTACCTTGGTGTAATTTTCTTCAATTTTTCTTGTACTTTAGGGTTCATTTAGCTTCTGTGTGGGCTTACCGTTTTTAATTAAAAAAAATTTTTTTTTGGCAGCTGGCCTCTAAGGAGATCCAAATCCTTGACCTTGGTATTTCCACCTGTCACCATTCAGAGACTCCAATTTTACCTTTATTGGGTTTCTTGAAGTTGTGCCACATTTAACTGATGCTCTATCCATGATTTTTGGGTTTTTTTCCTCTGTGTGTTTCATTTTAGATCATTTCTGTTACTATTTCTTTACTAATCTCTTCTTCTGCTGTATTTAATCTGCCATTAATCCCATTCCATGTATTTTTCATTGTACACATTGTAGTTTTCATCTCTCAGTACGTTTTCAATGTGCATACTCAACTTTGTGAATATATGGAATAATTAAAACTGCTCTAATATCCTTGTTACGTCTACTTTGTGTGTCAGTTTTGGATTGGTTTTGCTTGATTGATTATTTTCCTTATTATGGGCCATGTTTTCCTGCTTCTATGCATGTCTGGTCCCCCTCAAGTATTCAGCTGAAAGCTGATTTCCATATGTGTATAAGGAAACTACCTGAGTCTAGAAAGAAAGGTTTAGGGGAGCAGTGCCTAACATTGACATAGGGCTAGAAATAGTGCCTGTTTCCACTAGCCAGACTAAAAACAACTCGTAATTCATGGAGTATTGAAAATAGTCTTCAGGAAGGTCTTGCCTCAGTAGTGGGGAATAATTAGTCCCAGACTGATCATTGCTCCAGATCCACCAACCAGTACTAGAAAGGATTTGACTGTTTTCAAGTTACTTAACTACATCCCAGAACAAAGCTCAAGATTTATAGGAATACAAAATATCGAGAACTCCTCAAGGTAAAATTCATTCTATCTTTATTTTTGATCTGCATTTCTTTAATTATGAGAAGGTTGAACATCTTTTGTTTATAAGCTATTTGTATTTCTCTGTGAACTGTTTCTATCCTTCACCCATTTCTTTTTTGGGTTGGTGGTCTTCATTGTTAGGTATCTCGCTAATACAGTTGAAGAAGAAGACGAAAAATCCAAGCATGAAATTTTTGCCTGGGCTTTAGGGAAAAACTGGAGAAAACTGTTTCCTAATTTCTTAAAGTTAAGGGACCAGCTCTGGGATAGAATTGACTATAGGGCTATTGTAAGCAGGCAATGCTGTGAGGAGGTAAGGATTTAAAATTGTCTTCCGTTTATCTAATATCCTTATTTTTGAATGTGCTTCTAATGTTTCTTTTTTGGTTTTTGTTGTTGTTGTTGTTGTTTTTGGCCTATGTGAGGGTAGACTGTTAACCTCGCTCATTAAATTGCCATGAATACAACTTTTACTGTGTTGCTGTTTTAATTTTTACAATAATTAAAATTGTCATATCTATTTTTCAGAGCAGCCTACTTCTGTAGTAAGTATTTTTATTTTAATGTGTTTCTCCTGTCAAAAAAGATCACCAGTATGTTGGGAATGGGTGGTATGATCATACTAAAATATCTTATTAAGGATAGAAATAACACTGCAGTTGAATAATAATTTCCACGAAATGAAGTATGTGAAATTTCAAGTTCCCGAGATTAAAATAACAACCACATGGTCTATAATTTAATAAATTAATAGATATTTAAAAACCATACCTCTTTTCTCATAGAATACATTAAGTAATTTTCCTCGATGCTAGATTTTATTAAGATAAACCAGAAGGAAACTAAACATTTAAGAATCAGTTCTTATATCCAATGTTTTAATTTTTGATAAGGTTACTATTTAAAGCTAAAGAAAAATTCTAGAGTAGAAAATTAAGTGGAAAGCAATGATCCCAGTATGCTCTAATACTAGTTCAGAAACGTCTGATAAATGTGGGCTAGAAAATGCTGTTATTAAATGAAATTATACCCAATAAAATGAGTATAGGCCAAAAGAGCCAATTAATGGATTAGTGTCAAACCTGAGGGAAGACTTTAGTGCTGTGTCAGAGAATTCTGCCGAGAACTATACTTGTTAATTATATTTATTAATGAGATGAAGACACAGCAAATATGCGTATTTGTGTATTAAATTAAATTAGGAGAATTGTTAACTGTTGGGAAATGCAAGGACTCAGAAATAACTTAGAAGACTGTAGAGCAGGCCAAATCTTTATAATATTAAATTAAGTAGAAAAAGATGGTAAGTTGGGTGTATAAGGCCCTCTCAAATTAATGGATCCTCATTAAAGCGTTTAAACTGGACTCATTCCAATTACAGGGCATTGAAAGAGTCCTGAATTGTTAGTATTTATTTTTTGTCACTACTTCCCCAGGTCAGGAGTGGATAATTTACACGCTTGTTGCTATCCTTGGACATGATAGCGGGCTGTATTTGAACATTCATTTTTTTCAAAGTAAATGCTTCAGACCCTGTGGGACACTCAGCTAAGAGCATAAGGTGCCAGAAGCAAAAGGCAAGGACAGGCAGTGGCTTACCTCATGGCAGACCTCCCATGCAATCTCAAGATACACAGACTAACATTTTATTTTTATTTTTATGTTATTTATTTATTTATTTATTTTTGTCTTCCTTGTGACCGGTAAGGGGATCGCAACCCACCGGCCATCTCTATATAGGATCCGAACCCGCGGCGGGAGCGCTGCTGCACACCAAAGCGCCGCACTCTCCCGAGTGTGCCACAGGGACGGCCCAGACTAACATTTTAACTGCAATAACGTTAACGTGCTCAGTTGTAGCTGGAATTAGCTCATCTACTGGACCCAAGCTATAAAAGAGCCTAAGAATGATGTGGCTTAATAGCTTATATGTAAATGACTAAAACGTTCTAGACAGCTGTAAACTCAGTTCTGTAAGGAGACTTACAGGAAGTTTAGACTTCGACTGAAGAAAAGAGGTAGTAATCATAAGATTATACCTAAAATACTGTATTTGGTTCTGCACGCCACCCTTTAAAGAATAACTTTGACTAACAACTGTATATCCAGAGGACAACAACTAGAATAGAGGAGAGTCTCAGAAGAAAAATTTCATATGTGAAATAAGAAAAAGTATCAGAGATTTTTAGTATAAAGAAAAGATTCAGAAAGCTGGCAAGCTGTTTTCAAAAATTTAAAGGACCACAGTGGGGCAGGAAATACATTTGATTTGTCTTTTTGACAACATATAAAGTAGAGAACTAAGATCTCTGGATGGAAAACAAAAAGAAGAAATAGTAGCTCAGTATGAAGAATATTATTCTAACAGTTATCTGAAAATGAGATAGATACTTGCAGAGATTCCTACCACTGATGTTTTTTTTTTAAAAACAAGCAGCTGCTTGATACAGAGGAGATTCGTGCTTTAGGTTAGCAATAAAACTAAGGTTCCTTTTCACTCTAAATTTTGAGAGTGCAAAGTTCTATTTAAAAAAAAAAAAAAAAAAAGCTCTTGCTGGGCAAGCTAGGTTGTTCCTTAACATTGCTTAGAATTCATTCATTAAGTACCCATTGATTTGATGAGTACTTAGTAAAAAACTCTTAGACACTGTTATTTGTTTTAATTTAAAACAGGCTTGCAAAAATAGCAGCATTAACATCTGGGCATTAGGAATATAGATGTTTGTTATATTATTCTTATGCTTTTTTATACTTCTAAAATTTCTCAACATTTTTAAAAGATTAATGTAACTTAAGTTTTACCTCTTCAGAAAGTTCACCTTAAATGATTAATAATCTCTTTACCCTCTATCACAATACCTTGTTTGTTTCTTTCTATAGCACTGAACAAAATTTGTAATTATTTATTTGGTTGTCTATTATCTGTTTTATCTATAAACTGTAAATTTAATGAAGTCAAACAATTAGTGCACTTCTAATATGTCCCATCTCTGTCCTCACACGCCATTGATAACAATTATGCATTATCTTTACTGAGAAAACAGAAGCAATTTTAAAAGAATGTTAAACATTCTTCCACCATATCTACTATCCTATCTGAATGTGCACCCATATATTCTGCCCTCCCTTTGTTACTATGAAAGAACTATCTTTGCTCCCGTCCAAGTCCATTCCCTCTATTGTGCACTAGATCTCATATTTTCTTGCCTTCTCAGGGGCATCACTCCAGTAATTGTCTCCTTTTTCCGCATTTTACAGTTTCTATTTTTTTGGATCGCTGACATTATAATATAAAATTGCTTTAAAATCTCCATCAATTAAAAACAAACAAAAAAACAAAGAAACTTCATTTTTTATTACTACATTTCTCTCTGCCTCCATCATATTGAAACTCCTTAAATAGTTGTCTTCTACTCTGTCTCTACCTCCTTTCTTTCCATTCTCTTTGAACCTATTATACAAAGTCTTTTCCCCGTCATTCCATAGAGCCTTGTCAAGGCACCAAATATCTCTATATTGCCAAACCCAAAAGTTATTTCTTAGTCCACAACTTAGCAATGGCATTTGACATAGCCCCTCATTTCTTTTTTTTTTTTTTCCTTTTTGTCTTTTTTCATGTCCGGCAATGGATCGCAACCCTCAGTGTCGCGCCCGTACCGGACCGGGACTGGCAACGGGATCGCAACCCTCGGTGCTGCGCCCGCACCTCGCTCAGCCAGTGAGCGGGAACCGATCTGCATATGGGATCCGAACCCTTGGCGGGAGCGCCGCCACGCTCCCAAGAGGCGCACTGTAGCAGTGCGCCACCGGGCCGGCCCTTCAAATGTTCTTAAGGATTGTTTGCAATCCTTGACATTTCTTGGTTGTTAACTCGTATGCAAG